GGCACTTGGGTTTGATATAGAGTTTTCTAAAATTTTACATCAAGTATTGTTTTTTGCTATTAATATAATTATGTAACTTTTTAATGGTACAATTTCGGTAAATTAGCCATATTATCGGTATAGGATATTATTAACGTTTATGCGAAGGAGAAAGCTGTAACCTTTTGATCGAGAAATATAAAACAGAATGAACTAAGAACGGTGTGAAAGGTGTTAATAAATATAGGCTTTTTGTAAGACATGACATAAACGTAAGCTTCCGTCACGTTTGCGTCCCATATATGATTACATCATATCGTGAATATTTCAAAAATAATATACAATCATCATATCCGAATATACGTGATTGTGAATATAATGAACTGTACGTCCGAAATGTATTTTTGACTAATGTTGCAGTTAGATTTAAATAATCTAAGAATGATACTCAACAGTAATTTAGGAAAAAATATAACCAAGAAAAATAACAAATGAAAAATCTAATATTCGAATAAATTGTGCGAAATTCCCGTGTAATATTACTACAGTATCGATTCATTTTGGAAGATATTTCAAAAATGCTATTTACAAAGAAATATAAGGTTAATTAGAGTCGCTATTAGAAATGCCCAGACACTGGAAAACAAAGTAATCGTACGTAAAATTTCGCGCAAACACCGTAAAGTATACCATAGCGCAAAACTCGAAGAAGCTTGCTCGACACGAATGAGCTTGCATGGTTTGAGCGCGACGGCCGCGCTCTTACACTCGCGTACATATATGTATACAACGTCGAGTACCACGCCGGGCGGCCTTTCTCAAGAGGAGATCGTCGTAGGTTAGTGCATTGGCTGCACTTTCCGTCTCGGTATGTGCATGTACAGTCGCGGCACGGCGACAGCTCCTTCGCGACGTGCGCGCGCGCGCGCGCGCCCGCGGCGACCGTATGCATGCATTGGTTACGCAAGAATAGCGGCGTGTGTGAGACTGCTGACCCACATACGGTAGGGAGCAAGGACCCCGCGCTAGTACCACGTATACTCGGCCGAATGAGCGTGTGTGTCGCAGAATGCGCGAGCGCGACATATACACATGCGTGCCTCACAACAGCATGGATGCGCTCCGCCGCCTCTCTCCACTTTACGCGTGTGCCATCTAGCGTTACGAGCCAGCACCGACACATACACTCGCCCACGTGTGGTGTGGCTGATTAAGAACCGTTCACATCACTTACATGACTTGATATGGATATTGATATTTATCACTTTGATATAAAATCTTTTTTATTGAGCCTGATACTGCCATCGACTCCATTTGATCCGTTTTTTTTTATTCCGAAAATATAATTACTCTTCAGCACTGCGGCTCTTAATATTTTTCAATTTTATAACGCGTAGTCGTTTTTTTTTTTTAGATAAATTATTTGTGTAAATTTGTACACGTAGAAAAGAATTTTAAATATATAATAACTCTCTCGTGTAACAACAACAATAAACTAATAGATGATTTACTGGGCGATATTAATTAAACATAAAGCTGCTTATAAGTATAGTACTTCTTCCAAGCAGCTAGACTACGATGAAACGCGCGTAGGAGTAGCTACGAGAAGTTCTACGGCACGCTAGAATAAACAACTTTCGAAATGGAGACAGACAATGTTACGGAATATTAATGTCGCTCAGATTAGTTGAACGAAGTTTACGTGCTGAAAACAAATAGAAAGCCTCACGTAGAGTGTGTCTGCTTTGATGAACTTCTCTTCTCAGCATCTTCATCGTAACAAATAACCATTCCACAATATAAATATCCTACGATATCGCCATAAACCTTGTCAGAAGCTTTCTGCGGAACATTATTTCAAAAGTTTGCAAGATTTATAATTGTAAACATTTGTACACAAAATTTTCGTATTACAGAACAGTAAAAAATTTAGCAGGATATCAATCTATTAATATGTTATTGCTATAAGCAATTATATATATATATTACCATAAATCTAAAGCGCAACTATAAGTTTAATTGCGCACTTCGTGATCTACGTGTGATTAAGAGTAAATCACTGCTCAACATTTCTCAGATAATACTATGTTAATGTCGACTAATTAACGCGAAATGTCCGCTACTTTTACTTCTAAGCTTGAGTTGCTTCCACTGCTACGTCTTCGTTAGCAGATACATTGTGTCTAACTTTCGTCCGAGTAAATTCCAGAAATGTTTGAATCTGTAACTTTGAATATTGAATCGGAGACAACTTGCGCTAAGTAATGTTTACATCTTGTGATCATAAAATTGTTTTTATCGAGAAACGGCACAATATTATTCAAAACCAATTGAATGCCTCTATTTATACTGTGTGACGAAATGAATAATATATTCATGAAGCAAAATGAGGAAGAGAGAAATTATAAAAAAATACACAAAATGCAGATAAGAACAAATATTGCATTGCAAAACACAAATATTATTGGAGCGGTGTGAACACCGGTAGCATGCGTATGTTTCTCAGAACGAAGATAGAAATGCACAGTGATCTAGTTTCATTTTCCAGCACAAAATAATTTCATATTTATTGTTTGTTTCACTTTATGGCCTTCGTATTTCATGTAAATAAAAGTAAGTGTGTAATTTATTTAATAGCTACATTAAATTGGGCAGAGAATGTGAAGTAAAAGTTTATGTAGCGCAAGTTCGTATATAGAACAAACATTGATAGTTTGTAACTTACTTTTCTGACTCATACGTGATAATTACTTCAAAAGTAAAACATCTTTTCAACTTTTTTATGATATCCTTCCCTAATGAAATGTGTGAAGATCAAATCCTGAAAGTTTACCGTCTTCAAACTCAATATTACACAGAGATTTCCGACGATTTTCTCTGAAAGGGCGAAATAATAAATGAAACATCGATGTTCGAGAGTGGTTGCTCTAAAATGATCAGCAGGCACCGCGGAACCGGAGAGATAGAGGGGGCGACCGCCCACCCAGAGATAATTCAGAGGGACGTAGCCCCCCCCCCTCGAAATTTTTCTGTTTTCTTCAGGTATTTCAGGACCGAAAATATTGAGTATCAAATATTTACATCAAAGGTGGAAAAATGCGTTATTTTTCTTTTCTTTTCTTTTTTTTTGACTATTTACTCGTTCAATTGAAGTGCACTACTTATGTAACGAAGAAAATTAAGCGCATTAAGTTAATTGGAACAAAAAATCTGTGCATATTTTTCGCACATTTTACTACCCACTGAGTGACCTATTATATGGTGTTTGAATGGAGTTACAATGTATTCAAACTGTAACTTGTAACTGTTACATACATATACATATTATAAATGTATTATATATCTCCTTTATAAATTTTGCCCTCTCAGATGAAAAATACTTCCACGGCGCCTGATGACCACTTCATACACGACTTCATCTCTAAATACATCGAAATGGTAGCACTATAATACAACAAAGTCGTTTTTTTAAAAAAGATTTCCCAGCAAAGTTTAATCCGGTCAACACGCAATTTAACTTTTTTAAGGGACGACCTGATTTTTTTCGCTCAGTAATTCATTATTTGTAGATTAGAATGTAATCATGGTACATTTTCCTAACGACTTTCGAGATGTTTCTTACAAATTTTAACAATGTCTTCTCTTTTTAAGCAAATACGTCATATAAACCAATTCTTTAAGTTGGAAAAGTGATTCTTTTCGAATTTTCTTTGGTGCCAGAATTAGATCTAAACCGCTAAATATAACAATTCGCACGATTGACGCGCGCATCATCGTTCTTATTAAAACGACCCACGTCGGTCAGGTCGGAACGCTAAAGCCGGGTCATAAAACTAACGTAAGACGTCCGATGTCTTTTCAAGCATATGACCAACCGACCGACCGACCGACCGACTGGTGCAATTGTTCGCCGCCCGGCCTCGCGATAAGACGCGCGATTTGTTATTATCGCTGGCGACGCATTATTAAAATGACCCCCGTTGCACCCGCGACCGTCTCGAGAACCTAGCGTATTCGTCTAGCGCTAGACCGAAGCGAGTGAGTGCGCTCGTAAAACTCGTCGTAAGCCGATCTCTGAAAGGCTGTCGCGTCGACAAACGAAGAACCGAGAGACCACCGGGGTCCGCCTCTAATTATTCCATTACGGTGCAATGTATGACGTGACATCGGGTTCTGCGAGAAAACTCATAAAACAAAAACGTATCGCGGTAAACGATACATGCATCGCAATGCAACCGATCCAATTGTACATTATTGCCGGCTAAAGCGGGGTTAATGGCGAACTACGCGTTCGCCGTAATCGCTGCGTATGTCCGTCCGCGCAATCGTACTTTCACGTCGCGAACCATTCTCCTCGCAATAACTGATAATAACTATTCGCTCATACTGCACGTCATGTGACTTTCGATTACACTCGAGAAGAAAGATGCATTGAGAAATCCGTGAAAATAAAGGTAAAATAAAAATTCCTCATGAAATATAAATATTTTGTCAATGCACTTGAATATCTGCAGTAAGAAGTGTCGATGAAATTCGACAGATATCGAGTATTTGTTACCATTACATTTATCATTCTTGTTATCATTCATATCGAGCATAAAAACTATTTGAAAAAAAAATGAGATCTCGTTTATATTTAAGATAAAGCGTTAAGATAAACGATAAGATAAAGGAAAACTATAATTTTCTTATCGATAGATTGCAGTTTATAATTGAACTGTGTTCGACATTTATCTGTAAAAAACATTAAAAACGAATAATTCTGTAATTTTATCAATTTTTAGTACGTTTATATCTTGCATAAATGTATTCAATTATACGAAAGATAAAATCATTTATCTGCATAAACGCAGATTAACCCCGAAACTAATTTTGAAAGGAATAAAATTCATTTGCGTCCAACATATAAAATATAAATTTATTTAAATACAATACTGATTTCGGTAAATCACACAAATTATTATTTACGTTAATTGAAAGATTGATAACCGATAATAACTCGTGTCATTTTCTGCTTTCAGGAATTATGACCCTTCCGAGCAGCCCGTGTGAGATAGACAACATGAGCTTGTTTCAAGACCTCAAGTTGAAAAGGAGAAAGGTCGACTCCCGATGTAGTAGCGACGGTAAGAACGCTTCAGAGATATATATTACCGCATCGGATCAGAGTCCAACGCGAGTAGAATTAACACTTACAGAGCGGGAAGTGCGTAATGAGTTTCTCTGCACGGCTATCTCGTAGCGATTTCTTTCAAGCATACGTTACAACATCGTAACATCATTATGATTATTTATCTCAACGAGATAATGCGTATAGTTCCCTGCCCTACTACGAATCCTGCTGCGTACATTTTCGTTCCTTTAACATCGAGTGTTTCGATTTATAGCAATCGCTCGCGAATAGAATAGAAAAAAAGATCCAGCACAAAGAGATGCAATAAAGACGTAAAGATCGTCGAGAGACAAGATAGCACATAAAATCTAAATCTGATTCCAACGGCTGATGTAATCGCGCGCTACAGGGAAGGATCATATATCATTGTCGGGCAAATTATGATGCACTGGCGATCTTTTCATATCGAGATTACTCGGAAGCGAGTTGTAAAACTGACCGGTGCTTAAGCGTAACGATTGTTTACCACTCGGTAACAGAGGAGTTGGATTTAACACACGCACAACGGCGATTTTTACATTCTACGATTACGACGAACGAGAGATTGTTCCATTTATAGACGGCGCAATTAATCTTTTCCATTTACGAGAGAAGCGTGAAAAAATACAGTTGTACTATTATTGAGATAAATGCGCAAACACACACGCAACGCACGTATATATCGCGCTCTCCATTCAAAAAGACGGTCAATTCTTAATGATACTTCCGATATCGATTATTCTATTACATTTCTACGATTTTACTTTTCATATAAATACATCTAGATCGTTGTAATATTCAAACATATCAAATTGGAGTTAATTTCGTTTTTAATACACAACGATTGCTGAAAGAACTGTGTATAATTTCCGAAACATTCCGAATAATTTTCTATCTCGACAATTAATCTAATTCAAATTTTAATCACCTTTATGCATTTTGCGATGATTTAATCATAATAATGAGGTGAAATATTTTGTATCATTTATTCTCATACCACACGTTTCTTCGTCAGAAATTTTTACTTAATTTCCTATATTTGATATTTTCATTACCGCGCGAATTCTACGTATTAATATTACGCGTGTGCGTCATATTCGGAATTGGCACTTTATTGTGCCGAGTCTGACTTGCGCACGTGTTACACACATATAGAACACCTATATCGCCTATAGATAATCGGAATGAAATATAACATCTCTAAAACGGTAACGCGCCGTAAACACCATTGAGCTCTTTACGCTACTACCATTACCTAACGAATTCTGAAATGTCTCCTTCCTTTTTTTTCCTTTTCTAAGATGTATAGACTTCGGAGCATATATACCTCTTGTCTATTACTGTTGAATATAAAAGAAATAGCATATTTGCGTCGCGTTGTCCACCGACATATAATTTTCCTCGCAGGATCGAACGGGTAATACATTCTCAATGACCAAATCTTCACGACCCTTCGTTACACATCCATCGGTCACCATTCACGCTTTTCATTCAGTCTCCCGGTTCTCGTGCTGCGCGCGCTTATCTCGCGCGCTTTTCTCTTTCGCTTTCTCTCTCTCTCTCCC